TAGTAAAACCAACATTTCAGTTTTGTTAAAAAGTATTCTTTAAAAATTTCATTGTATCTGATTTGTGTCAGATACAAGGATCCAGTTAAATTATTTTCTTATCATTGCATTATTGTTTATTATGGTTTGTTGTTGAAAAAATCAGAATGTAGAGAAATTGCTTAGTGTGTAGTGTTGCTTTCTTATTGCTTAGTGCATTTTGTAGTAATAGCATTATATATTATTATTTTAAATAATAATAAGCATTGTGTAGTTTTAAATAAAAATATCACCTATTTTACTTTGAATGTAGTAGCTGAATATATCCTTCATTTGTCGTGATTTTAATTAGTAAATCTAGAAAATGGTTTAAATTCTTTAGAATCATTATTCAGTTTGTTTCTGTATTGGAACTCAATGTACTTTTCCAGCAAATTAATCTTTAATCAAACTAATGATTTTGGCTTTATTAATGTCTTCATCAGGTTTTTTCATTAGTGGAAATATTTAAATCTACATTAATAGAATACTGCATTTCTATCAGAGAAATCTCTGCTAGAAATCTGTGAAATCTCTATCTTATGTGTGGAGATTTCTATTTGATTACCCCTTAGAAACAAAGGGCAGCAAAAATCATAACATGGTGAAAACATGACATTATCATAGCACTTCAAATGATTTAGTTTTTATTTAATTTTATTCTTAACTGTATAGTTTTTAGTATATTATTATTTTTAAATTTATATTTTTTATTTTATTTNTTCACTCTTCAAGTCTGCCGAAATAATTATTTAGGATTTTCATAACGAAACTTACCATTTTTGAGCTTTGTGATGTACGTGATTACTTTTATCTAATAGTCTTGTTCTATCGTAAACCAAACAAGCATTCACTTTTAGATAATAATGGATTTTATATAAAAAAAAATAAAATAAGCTGAACTGTGGGATATACTGTATATATATTAGGCTAATATCGAATATATATTGAAGTTTATGTATTTAAAAAATGTAATTTTCTAACAAAAAGAGCAGAAGTATAAAATGCAGGGCATAAACCCTATAAAATGCAGAAAGTGAATGAGATTTCATTCATTTTCTGCGTTTTCTTTGCTTATCTTTGATGTCGATTCAGCAGAAATCCAGGGAGCGATTATGTCGGTATCGTTATTTATTTATATTTTTTATTTTATTTGTAACTTAATCAGTAACCCCATTTACATTTTTTAAAGAAAATGTAATATGTAATCATAGTGAAAATGATGTAGTACATGTAGAAACTATGGTTTATATGAGCACTGCATTGATGATGACTATTGTATTGTGACGACTATGTTCCCAAAAATAAGTGAATTGGCAGAGAACAACAGTATTTATATAGTAATAAACATTTGCAAAGAAAAGCTATTATATAATCTTGTAGAGACTTTGGTAAATAAAAAATAACAGTCTCAAACTTATTTATTATGCAGGAATAGTTGCTATATAATATTCAAAGACAATTGATTATGCTTATTAATCTTCTGAAATTAATAACAGTTTGAAAAGTTATTGCATATTTCAGAAAAAGAAATTTGTAAACATCACATTTCCAGCAAATAGGAACTTCAAACAATTGTTCAGGAAGAGTGACAAAAATTAGTATACATGTTATAATTGATGCCAACAATAGCTGTACAAAGTACTGAAAGTAAATTCATGACTGAAAATTACAGTTGCTCAAATACTTTTTTCTGAAAATGTGATTTATTGTTCTTTTGTTGAAATGTTATGTTACAATTTTCAAATTTGTGTCATCAGTAAAATATTGCAAAACAGTTTGTTTTGGGATCACTTTTGTGCAAGATTTGATAATGTTGGATGTGCAAATATTTTCTACACCCAGTGTAGTAGTAGATATTCATTTTTCTTGAAAATATTGTGGATCTAAATATTTTATGATAAACTTTTGCATGAGACAGATTTTGAGGTCTGACATTTCCTTTGGAAGAAATGATAATAATACAGGGTTTTTTAAGCATGTTACCATTGGGCAAACCAATAATTTTGTAAACACCAATGGCAAAGAATGAATTATTGCTGGTGAGTGTTCATCAATTTTTGTAGATTATAACACATTTGATGTGTTTCCTCAATTTTCCATGACATATCACAACCTAACAATAAAATTCTGTATAACTTAGTGGTTGGGTTGGCTTCATTTTGTGAGGAAAAGATGAAAGATCATTTCAGTAAATTTTCCATACAATACTGTATGATGTATGCTGTGATATCTACTGTGAAAATTTATACAAATTCTTCCTTAGACTTCAAAACAATTTGCTGAGTTTCCTCTACACTTTCCAGCATTCTCACTGATGATCATCCATTATGTCTTTTTCTTACATCCAAAATGCTCTCAAACCAATTTCAACACTGTCATCTTACTAGGTCCATCATACACATTGAAATATTGACTATATATTTCCTTTGAGTAGCAACAACTGAATTTCTACTGGTGTAATACTGCTTTACCATAAACATTTTCTGTTCTATTTAGTGCTGTATGTTGTTTTCATGGTAAATAAATCTTCATATATTTCTCTGTCGGAGGAAATATCACAAACTATCCAAAAACTGAACATCTGTTCCTGAAAAGAAAAGAAATGAAAACATATAAAAATCATCTTGTATAGTACTGTACGTACATTGGTACAACTTAACAATAATTTCAAAGTATTTCTATATAACTTAAAATACAAATGAAAGCACAGTTATGATACTAAGGTTGCAAAGAAAATATAAAATTATTACAGACAAATTTAAAATAATATATTAATAATTCACATAGTAAGATCCAAAAAGTTAATTAACAATGCCAAATTTAATAATTAGATATAAAGTAATATGACAAAGGTAGATGGTTAAACTTGTGATACTTAAAAATCAGGTTGTGAATTTATTGTTTATATAAATAATTAACAGAATGCTGTTTATGATTTTCTACATCTTATAAATTTTAAATTCATTAATGACTTTCCTTGTGAGATGTAAAATTGCAAATATTGATATATAATTAAATTTCTTAAAATATGTTTTTTTGAATTGTATATTTTCATTATTAAAGAAAATTTGTTATATAGAATCTTGAACATTATTTTTACTTAAGTGTGAAACAGTATTAACAGCAAAGTATCATATTTAAGATTTTTGCATTAAGTCCAATCAGACTACACTGAAAAACAATGAAACATCAGTAGTTTCAGTAATAAAAGTCTTATATTCTAAAAAGTACTAATTTCTTATATTTTAAAATCAAAATTTAAAACTTAAATATTTTTGTATCTAATATATTATTTGTATATTATATTTATAATGAATTAAAATTCTGGATATTAATATCTTCAGATTTTTATTTTTGTATTGTCAAAGATTCTATATGAATATCATTTAAGATTATAATAAGATATTTGCTATTGCAGAGAATTTCTTATTACTAGCTTAAAAATTATATAAATATTAATTGTAATTGAATTACTTCAAATAAAATGTATTAGTTTTACTATTTCTAGCAATAAAATTTTTATTTTAATTCTTATAATTCAAACTAAATGAAATTGTTTTTTAGTCAGTTTAAAATGCAAATGTTTCATTCTTATCTGATGTTTTCAGATTCTGTAAGATTATATTTACAAAAAATCATACAATAAAGTTTAATTTATAATTTTTGTTTCATCAAATAGAATGTCAAATATAAATTAAATATTCTGTTTTTCTGTCAGTTTTACTGAATGAAAAGATAAGTTAAATACTGTTGTGTGTTGTTTTTTCTTTGAAGATAGGCTTTAATAAATCTGAACACATTAGAGAAAAGTAAATTTATATTTTAAACTCAATCAAATTAATTTTTTTTATTCAAAATAATTTGAATATTATTATTATTTTTTAATGTATTGGTAATATGTAATTTGAGAGTATGTGTTGAATCCTTAGAATTTGACTTTCTTGAATTTGTATCTTTNATATTACTACATTAAATAATAAAAATCAAAGTAATTTGTAAGATATAAATTAATTTTTGTTTTTTGTTTTTAAAGTAATATATAAAATTGAAATTTTAACTTTATTTAATTCAAGTTGATTTGGAATTGGCTGCATTGATAAATTTATATTTTTAATGTAAATTTAGAAAAAATATAAATGAATTGAACATATTATTTAAAGATATGTTTTTTATTAATGTCACATATTTAAAGTATTGAATTCATAAGTGTTTTTTGATAGTTGTTAAAATTTTTTCTACCCATTGAGTGAAAATTTTAAAAAGTGAATAAACTTTTATCATTTCATTTTAATATATTCAACATTATTTATAAAAACTATTTGATATAACAGTCTTTTAGAAAAGTTGAACTGCTTAGTTTTCTAAAATTAAGGAATTATTTGATTGCAATAGTAAGCCTACAGTTTCACTTAACCATAATGTTAGGAATGAAATTTAAATTTATTAAATGCAAGAGTATGTTATTAAATACATTGTTAATTTTCTTCATAATGTGCCTAATTTTGACAAATACAAAGCAGAATCCATTAACATTCCTTACTGTAGATAACGAAAAATTTTGTGTTCTTGCAAATTAGATTTTCAATTGTTACATTTGTCTAGCAACTAAGGCTGTCCTGCGCATCTGGATGGTGTGATTTAATTAAGCTACAGCTTGATGTCACAGCTGGCATGCTGTATGCTGCAGTAATGATAGTCACTGATTCTGCTTTGTTAATTTGGACTTCAAAAACTCTATTGTTTAGTGTTTCCTGATGGATTTTAGATTAACTGTTACCTACATAGTAAATTTCTAACAATTTATATATATATTTTTGAAATAAATTACTAAACACTTATATTTCTTTTATTGTTTTTTCTTTTTATTTTTAAAATGATTGATTAAGGCTTTTTATTATTATAATTTAGAAAATTTTAGTTCATTAAACTTTTAATTTTAATATTATCTCTCTCTAATAATAATAATTTTGAATTCTTAGATAAGATGGGAGAAAAATATCACATTAGGAGAACCTCCAGGATTTTTACATTCTTGGTGGTGGTATGTTTTTATTTATTATACAATTTCAACTTTTTGTTAAATTTTAATTATTGCAATTTTTTTCCACCTTTTAATGATAGTATGAACAATAAAATGTAGTTGATACATGTAATTAGTTTATGCAATATTTTTATTTTGAATGATTATAAAAATATGAAAAATCATAAATTTTAAGTCAATTCTTGATTTTATTTTTATATTAACTTTTATCTCTTGTCATAAATATCAATTTTCTTATTATGTAATAATTTTTTAATTATTAATTCATTTAATACTATAATACAAAATTATTAGAAATAAAGTAATTGCTAAATGCTAATTAAAATGATTTATATAAATAGTGTTATACAGTATTACTGATTATTGGACAATAATTATTTCCCATTGGAAAATATTAAAATACTTATCATATTGTAGATAAAATTATAAAAACTGTATGAATAATAAGTAAAAACATTTGTTATATTGCTTAACAAATTATTTGAATTAATCAATTTTTTTCAAATTTCATAAATTATTAAAATTGATATCAAATTTATTAGAATTTAATTAAGATTTTGAATAAGTAATTACTATGATTATATGAATAAATAAATATTAATGTTTGAAATTTGCTTAAAGTACGAATTTATTTGGATGAAAATAACATTTTTAATAGAATTTTAGATAAACATCCATAAGTTACTCATATTTCATTATCAAAATATTTAAAACTAAGAATAATAATTCTTTTTAGGGAGAAATTTGCTTATTAATACAATATATTAACTTAGCAATAATATATGATATTTGTTTTTTTTTAATGACTTTTCATAAACATTAAAGAATTTATAAATTAAATTTTTATGTTATCAAAACTAGTTTGTTAAATAAATTCAAAGACTGAATTCATTACAAGTTTGGAAAACATATAGGAACATGATTTAATATAAAATGAAATAAACTAAGGTATACATCAAAACCTATTTCTAGTAGCAAATTACTTAGTATTAATCATTAAATTAGCAGTTATATACCTGATTATTTAAGGTGATCATTTGGTTATGTTTCTATACACAAATGTTTTACTTCTAAAGATTCAGTATGTTTTTGATAGCAGTTTGATTGCCCTCTTCTACAATTCACACAAAATTCATTGTTGTATGTTTAGAAATTTTATGTTTTGCAAACTAATGAAATTATAACAATGGAGTAAAGAGTACACATTAGATTTGCTGCAGTTTAGGTAAAAGTACAGTTACTGTATCATAACTGTTAATGTATTAGATTATATATTTGTGTAACTTTTTATCAGCTTTGTGACTTGCCTTGCACTATGACATATGATTTGTCCTTCTATAGATCTTTCAAAGATCCTTAGACTTTCTGGAATGGTTATAATTTATCTTCTGATCCAAACATTTCAATTTTGCGATTTAGACAAAAGACCAAAAATATGCTTTGAAACTTTGAATTGATAAAATTATGTTAATAATGTTTTGTTCTTTGTCCAAGTTAAATCTGAAAATATTGAATATTTCAAGGAAACAATTTTTTGTTTATTAGATCAAGCCTTTTTTTTGAGATCATACATGTCTTATCAAATGCATTCAGAGAACAATAAATTCCAACATATATAGTAGCTACAAACATTCTAAAAATAAAAGATTATCTTTGTTGTTTCCAGGTATTCAGATTTAAATAAGTTCTCTGTTTCTCAGACCACTGACTTCTTGAACTGTTTAGTGTTTTAAGAGTAATTAATTTTTTATAAACAAATGGAGTGACTATTACATGGAAAATGCTTTAAATGTTTCAGGAAGTTGAAATGGCAATAATGATGATTGAAATATTGTTGATTTCCATACTTCAAAATTTCAGAAATGATCAAAGAACTTTACAATTAATTGCATACTGATTCCCAAATTATTGTTTAAATGGTGGAAAAAACATCATAATATAAAAAAGAATATATTTTAAATTTTGATACATAATGTAAGAAAACAAAAGATTAGGATTTAAAACTTGTCAAGAGCTTAGTTGATGGCAATCCTCCTTTGCTTAGCTTGATCATACAGATGACCAAAACTGGTGTTTTCAATATGTTCCAAAATAGACTATGCATAGAATAACATTCTGAAATATGAGAATTCATTTTAAAATTCAAAAATTAAATAGAGGTAACATTCTATGATATATAGAAATAATTTATAAGTAATTTATTTAACCAGGCTAGACAATGAATAAGGAATACTACGTACAAGTTTTGGATTTTGATTTGTTTGGCTAGGAGACTTCAATAAATAAGATCTTTCAATGAAAGAATTGCATGATAGTTTTAGCCTTATTTTATATTAATGATTTAAGAAACTCTTGTTTTGTATAATTCTGCAATCCAAAACTGAACATACTAATTTGATACTTAACCTCATCCATAAATAGAAACAAAACCAGAAAAAAATTCAAACCACATCAACAAAATGCCAATATCAAGCAACCGCCTCAAATCCAAAATGATGTCAACCAGAAAAATGAAAACGACAAAAATAATCAAACCACATCAACAAAATGTCAATATCCTTCAACTTTCTTAAAACTAAAATGATATTGATATTATGTTTTTTTTTCTTCCTTTGATTTATCATAAACAGACAATCTCTTATTTTGCTAAATTCAAATTAATATCCTTAAATCTTTCTTTTCAACATCAAACACAATGTGACAAAGAAATTTGTAACAGTTAATTTATAGTGAGAGAGAGTTTTTTTTTCTGGAAGTTTTGATGAATGCAATTTTTGCATTCATCAAAACTTCCAGAAAACTTTTTGAGAAACCTGTAGTTTCTCAAAAAGATTATTTTCAGTAATAATAATTTTTTTCATTTTAGCATATATATGATTTCTTTTTTAGTTCCAGGATGATATGAATTTATTTGTCAAATCTTTTATAGAAATGATTGTTTAAATATTATTGATAGTATTACTATGGAATTACTGTATATTGTGGAACTTGATGATTATAGTAAAGTGTAATTCTAAATATAGAAACCAAGCTAAGTTTTCTGGATAAATATTAAGTATTTAAACAAAATAAATTTTAACATGATTATACCATTTGTTTGGGAATAGGTATTATCAGTATATTAGTTTTTATAGTTTATGATTTATTCAAATTATTATGTATGAAATTTATAATCAAGAATAATAAAATATAATTGAGTTCACTTAACAGAGCATTGGATAAGGGAGCAGTTTACTTGATAGAGCACTCTTTCATGCTCCTGATATTCTCCCCTATGTTTTGTATTAGCTCCTGTTAACAGAGTGCCAGATAGTAGAGCAGTTCACTTACATAAGTGCCATGTTAGTAGCTTTTTTAAAGCAACAATCTACATTAAGGGAGCACTATTTTAAGAAGATTTTTGTCAGGTCTATCTTTAATCTTGTGGTACATCACCACACCACTCAGGACACATGGTGACAGGATTTTCTACATTATGGTATTTGTTGAAACGTGTGATTTGGATAAAATGAAGTGGATAATGGTTTAGCATGATGATGAAAGAATGAAAATTGTTCATTAATCAACAAAACCTGTTTTTCATAAAGATGCACTGTTTCATTAAGCATGGTTGAGAAAATATTTAGAAGAAAATTTTACCAACTATATTGCATTTTGTGAGATCAAGATGATTGAAAAGAAAGCTGCAAGTAATCATAATCAAAAAGAATATATACATATACCTAATATGCAATAAACAACCTGAACAAACCTAAAAGTTAGAAAAGTTGAATGGTGGTATATTTGCACCATCATATTCTCCAAATGTTGAAAGAGCTACAGAAACAGGCATTATCCAAGAAAATGCACCCAAAGTTCATTCACCAGATGTCACAGCAAAATACCATATATGCAATAAATAACCTAAACAAATTCACTTAAAGAAGTCCATAATTGGATTTCGGTAAGAAAATTTATTTAGGTTGTTTATTGCATGAATAACAACTGTTCATGCAATAGTACACATAGTTGCAATAGTTACAATAGTGCACATAGTTGTTTCATATTTGTAAATTATCATAATAAAATTTGATAGAAAATAACTTTATTCTTGCAGTACTTCTGTTTTTATACTGTATGCCCCATTAGAGAACATTTAGAAATTTGAAACAAGGATGTTCACAACTTTCAGCTAGGCCTCCTACTGTATTTCTGGGAACAAATGAAAATAATATGACTGGTAAATATATTGTATTTATTGATTATTTGATAAAATGATAAAATTGATGTAAGAATGGAAACAAATTTGTAAGTTACGATTGTTATAATGAATTTTAATGTTTCCAAGTATGAGCTCTATATAATTTATAACGTAAGTCATGAAAAGATAGAGAGATTTGAATACCATAAACAACTGCAGGGTGATCTTACTTTGGATACAAGATCAGTTAGGATAACAGAGTATGATGCAGCAATTTTCTTAAGCAGACTTGATTGTATGTTGATTCTATAATCTGATATTGGCATTACAAAGTATTTTTCTGTTTAGACGACAATCATAATATATATAACAAATGATTTATAATTTAATATACAGTGGGTGATTGGTTAACGAACATAATTAGTTCCAAGACTTTGTTCGTTATCCGAATTGTTCGAACCGATTATTGATTTACCATAGGTTTTTATGGGAATTTGATTAATTCGTTCTGGAGACTCCAAAAAATAAAACAATATATATTTTCTTACTATGTTTATTTATATGTAATAATAAAAATACATATACAGTCGACCCCCCCATAATACTGTTGATAATTCCGTTTTATATGAATTCCATGTTGTACAAGTCACTTACATTTTACAAATACGTGTGCCGGGCTGTGAACGGCTCACATATTTGTAAAATCTAAGTGACTCCTACAACATGGAATTTATATAATGGAATAATCAACAGTGTTATAGGGGGATTGACTGTATACACAGTCTTGCATTTTTATTAGTCATGTTTTTTCCTTTTGTAG